TGGGCTAAAACTGATGTCTATTTATTATCTCTGGAATCAACCTTGTATTGGAGCAACTTACATCATAATCCCATTCTTGAACCAGTTGCTATGGCTGTGGAAATATAATAAGCCTGTTGGGCAGATTTGACTTACAACATTTCTGAGACTAAGGGCATTTGGAGATTTGTATTTTTAGGTCTTAGTCTTCGCTCTTAGAAGCAACTGAATCATATGGAGATTAGAGAAGTGAAGGCTATTTAAAAGGGGGAATAGATGGTGAGCAGCCAGAATATCAACTACTATTCTCTAAACTGGTGGCAAATAGGTTGAAAGGGAAAAAAAAGCATAAATAGGCTCTGTTTAAATCTGTAGGATTGCCTTAATTATAAAAGCTGTTAATGCTATTAGTGTATAATGCTTTATGACATTTATTTTGACTGAACATCAGTTTTTAATACCTTTATTCTTTGCTTTTTGTAATATACTTTGTATAAATAATGTTCAATGTAATCCAGTTTAATCATCACTAATGGATTTTTTTTAAGTTCTCCACATTCAAATAATGTTTTGAAGAGAAAAAAAAGGTAATAAAGAAGAGAGTCATTCTTTCCTGTGTATTATTTTTGTAGGTAACAATTGACAAAACATACTGATGTATAATTTGAGAGATAAATAGTGGAAAAAATCACTAAGCTAGAAATTATAAAGCTTTTTGTGCCATCAAAACAGCTTTTAACTATGCATGTGACCCTAGAGAAGTCTCTTTGCTTCTTGAGACTTCAGGTTTTATGAATATGATTATATCAATATGAATAATAAAACTTCAGTTCTTCATTATGACTTCAATATGTTAAAAATCACATATATTTTTCTACCTAGGGTCTAAAATTCCATATTTTTATTATACATGTGCCCATTATTATTCAGGTTCATGTCTGAGGATGGTTATAGAAGTATTCTATTTAAATATTCAGTGAATTCTGGAATTCAGTACATACACTTTTAAGATGAGTAGTTAACTAAATCCAAATAAATGAGTGCTTATTAGAAAACATTTCCCTGAATGCAGTTTTTTTTTAATTATCTAATTGAAGCAGGAGAGAGAGAGGGAAAGAGAGAAAATTCTGATTTATACACTGGTTCACTCCTCGCATGCCTGCAAATGGCTGGAGCTAGGCCAGGGTTGAAGCTGGGAGCCAGTGACTCCCTCCAGTTCTCCCTAATGTGCGGCAGGGATCCAACTACTTGAGCTGTCTGCATTGACAGGAAGCTGGAGTCAGGAGACAGAACTGAGAAACAAAACCAGTTACTACAGTGTGGGACACAGGCATCTTAACTGCTGGACTATACTACTAGGTTAAACGCCCAGTTCCCAGGTATTTGTTTTTAGTGATGTAGTGCATATATAATGGAATGAATGAGACTGCATCTTTTCTACAAAAAGCATAGCATTCTGTTTGGTGAAGTTAGGGAGGATGATACACACAACTGTCCTTTGAGTCATGGTGTAATAGGTGTTATGAAAGAAAGAAGTGTTAAGGTGTTTCAAAGATGAGAAAAATAAATTTCGAGGTTAATCAGAAATACTTCATAGAGGATGTAGTAATTGAAGTGGCCCTTGTAGGAGTGATGGAATTTCAATGAGTGGGAGGAACATTCTTAATTTAGCAAACACCATGAGAAAAATACAAATATAGCAAAGAATCAGACAGAGCTGTATAGAATTTTAGGGAAAGGGAAAAGATAAAGGTAGAAAAATAGATTGGGAATTTAGTAGAGAACTTTAAGTGCTTGAATGAAAACTTTGTATTTGTAGCTAATGGGCATCTTTGAAAGTTTTTCAGTAACAAGTCATATAGTCAATCAAAAATTATTTTGACAAGTTGCTTACATCTGAATATAGGAGTCATATACTTTTTTTTTTTTTTTTTTTACAGGCAGAGTTAGACAGTGAGAGAGAGACAGAGAGAAATGTCTTCCTTCTGTTGGTTCACCCCACAAATGGCTGCCACAGCCGGCGCGCTGCGCTGATCCGAAGCCAGGAACCAGGTGTTTCCTCCTGGTCTCCCATGCGGGTGCAGGGCCCAAGCACTTGGGCCATCCTAAACTGCCCTCCCGGGCCACAGCAGAGAGCTGGCCTGGAAGAGGGGCAACCGGGACAGAATCCAGCGCCCCGACCAGGACTAGAACCCGGTGTGCCGGCACCACAAGGTGGAGGATTAGCCTAGTGAGCCGCGGCACCGGCTCTACTTTATGATATATTTTAATGTATAAGCAATGTTGTAAGATGTATTGTATCAAGAAAAATTCCCTAGTTATATAAAATTTATCATATGGTTGTGAATACTTTCTGTCATATACCCAAAGATTCCCCAAAGTACTGGTTTTCTCATTGAAGAAATACAGTCCCAGTTGTAGGTAGAACCCACAAACTCATAATAAATGAAGAATTTCCTCTGAATTTCTCAACACAAAGACAAATAATTCCAATTTTCATTGATTAGAATTTGTGTTGCCTGGTTTAATTTAGATAATCACCAATATAAAAATATTTGACAACACTTCAATGGTTGCACAAGTATATGCATAAAATTAGAAGTTTTGAAAATGCATAAAAATTGAGTACTATATATATCTGTAGTGCTTGAATTTGTGACATGAGAGGTTGAGTGACTTTATAATATTATACTTGGCTGCTGCATTCATGGGCTTTTGTGTATTGTTTGCTCATGTTTGTATTTAATTTTTTAATTAGTACTTTGAGGGAGGCAGATGTTGAATAAACACTGCTTTTGAATTTTTAGGAGGTTTTAAAATTAGGATAATTTTTCCCTGTTTTTTACCGAGCTCTAAACTCATTTTTAATTTAATTTAAGTTTTAAAATACTAATGTAACTATTTTCCTACTTTAATTGCTCTAAGCATTACTGCATTAATACTTTAAGAGCTGTTCTGAATCGGAAAATATTTTCCCTGAGACAAGCTCCAGCTCAATTTTTGGTGATTTGTTTACCAATGTAGCTCCTTTGAGTTTATTGCCATGATTGTAGTTTAAGGGGAACAGGGTATCTGATTATTGTAGCCATATTAGTAGGTGGATTAGATAACTGCTGGAGTATCTGATTATACATTTCATGATGATTCATCGTAGTTTAGGAGAAGACAGACCCAGAAGGCAGGAGATGTAGTATTTTATTTATTTATTTGGATTACTTTAAGACCCATTCCTGATATAGGTTGTTGGACTCTTGGGACACTGGAGGTTAAAAATGGAAAAATGCCCAATCCTCATATACTTTATTATTTTTCCTAAGAGAATTGTTCTATTATCATAATAAATCATAGTATAAATACCTCCTTAATGCTAAGAAATATGCCTGGTATGTAGGAGGCCAGGTTGAAGAGAGTAAGGTCTTAGCCCTTAAAGAGCATAAGATTAATGTTGGGTAGATAAGTAATTGCAAAACAGTGTGACTGAAGTTACTATCTCAGTATGAATTATGTATAAACTTGCTCAGACATTGTTATACATAATTCTAGAATCTAGAATGGTTTCCTCAGAGGAGGTGATGCTGTTACGAGATCTTGAAAGATAACCAAAAGTTTTCCAGGCAAAAGTTGATGGATCCCAGGAAGAAGAAAGAGACTTAAAGTGCATGATGTGTTCAGGGAAGTACAGTGAATCCAACATCATTGAGTGTACAATTTGGGACAGCAGCAGATGTGGCTGGAAGTTGGACAGGAAATAGATTCAAAAGTGCCTTAAATATCATGCTAAATATGAGAAGCTTGGCCATGACCAAAGGATTTCTGTTTGGGGAGTAATGGAATTGCCCTTTTATTGTGGAGTACAGGCTGGAAACCCATGTATTTTGCAGCATATGTTTCTTTTACAGTAGAGATAAGGGGCATTAGGGTAAATGCAGGTGGGGCTGGACTCCTGTTTTGAGTAAATTTTTAGATTGGTTGCCTGGATGGTTACCTTCTAAGAGGTAGATCAGATAAGAATGGGAAAATATGACTAATTTAATTTGTTGACATTTAGGGTTTAGAACTAAGGAGACACTGAGACCGAAGATGTAAATGTGACTTTCACTGTAGATAACAGCTGCAGGTCCTACCTAGAAATTGCTGTATTTAAATAGAGTTGTGTGTTCAAATACTGTAGGAAAACATTTGCCATAAGAGTAATATGATTTAACTCTTAAACTCTTTTTTTTTTTGACAGGCAGAGTGGACAGTGAGAGAGAGAGAGAGACAGAGAGAAAGGTCTTCCTTTGCCGTTGGTTCACCCTCCAATGGCTGCTGCAGCCGGCGCGCTGTGGCTGGCGCACCGCACTGATCTGATGGCAGGAGCCAGGTACTTATCCTGGTCTCCCATGGGGTGCAGGGCCCAAGCACTTGGGCCATCCTCCACTGCACTCCCAGGCCACAGCAGAGAGCTGGCCTGGAAGAGGGGCAACTGGGAAAGAATCCGGCGCCCCGACCGGGACTAGAACCTGGTGTGCCGGCACCGCAAGGCGGAGGATTAGCCTAGTGAGCCACAGCACCGGCATAACTCTTAAACTCTTAAGTTCACTTTTTCATGTATGAAAATATTTAAATAGCAAAATTCTTTGAAATTGTGAAAGAGCTTTGAAATTCATACTGTAAGTGTGGTTTAAAATAGAATGGCCTTCTTCATTTTATTTTATTTTATTTTGTTAGTACTTAGGCTTCTTTTTCTCACAGATTTTGGTTCTGATGTTTTAGTTTTTGTGTCAGCCTCTCTAAAGCTCCACAGATAGAGTTTAAATCAAGGATTTATTCAAGGGTATCCTTCAAGGTAGGAACTAGCTTTTCTCTGATTTTTATTTAGTGATAATTGGAGAGCATTTTGAGCAGTGTGTATATAGATTATGTAAGTAGTCACTTAGGCCTCCTCACCTCCTGTTAACCTGGCTTCTTGAGAGGCATTGAACTGGGAGTATGCAGGGAACAGCTGGGTCAGACTCAGCCCTGTTGCCTAGCAGTCCCACGGAGCAGTCATAAGGGGCTGTTGCTGAGCAACCAGTGGCTCTGTGGTGGTGCATCCTCCCCTAGGAGTTTTACAGTAGTGATGGATCCACCCCCATGGGAGAAGCAGTACAGTTTGGCAGGGGGGCCAAGCCTCCCTCAGAGGCACCAGGTTGTTAGCAGTAAGTATTTGACCTTAGAATCAAAGAAGGTAACTATGTTCTATGAACATGCAAGTCATTTTCAGAATTATTGATGTAATTTTAATTAAACATGGATTTGAGAAAAGGACAGGGTTTTCATTTCAAAGACTTTCATTCCATTTTCTTTCTCCTTCAGGCTCAATTGCAAGGGACATTTTCTGGGTCAATGAGAAGTAATTTTTCTCTGTGCTGCATGGAATATGTAATGTTCCCTATTAACATTATTTAGCCAAAGCAAATATTGACATTTGAGAAAAACCAATAAGCTAATTCCATTTTAGTCAAGTGAACATGGATGGTAAAGTATTTGATTTAATATCAACACAAGAATTTCCACTAATATTCGAAATAAACCCTGGAGTTTTCTTTCTGTATAGAAAGGTCAAAAAATAACAATTCATTAGGACAAGGTCTTGTTCTGTTTTTAATATTCCATGATGTATATAAATAATGATTTAAAGGAGTTGATAAAATGCTAAAAAAAAAAAAAAAGCTTTTCCAAGAAGGCTGGTACTGTTTGCTCACTGAAACACAGGGTTGAGGAGGCAGGGCTTTCTCCGGGAAGGAGATCCATTTTGTTGATTTTGAGTCTATACCCTCTGAGATACCTATATTGTTTAAGCACACAAACTTAAAACTTAAGTAACTTAAAAGTTTTTCACAAGTCTTACACACTTATACATGCGTATGTGTACATTCAGTTAGAGTACTACTGAAGTATTCTATTAATAGTAGTAAGACAGTTTTTCAATTTTTTAAATTTTAGTAACATAAAAAGAACAGATTTCATGTATTTCATAGGTGTAGTTCTACAATGATAATCATACTTCTCTCTCTTCTGCTTTTCCTCCCTGAATCCTTATTGCTTTCTTATTTTTCTTTAATTTTTGCAAAGACACAGTTTCAATCTCCTCTATAATCATAGGCTTAATTTTCCACTAACCATAATATTCAACAAGTGAAAAATAGGAAGACTACAGTTCCACCGGAGTGTAAACAAGGGTTGAAAACAACAATCATATCACAAAATGTCTGTCTCATTCTTACTCATTTTTATTCTGTATTAACTACCATATATCAGAGAAACTATATGTTGTTTGTCTTTTTGGGACTGGCTCATTTCTGAAAGCATAATCATTTCCTTTTGCATCCATTCTGTTACAGGAGACAGGATATCATTCTTTTTTTATGGATCAGTGGTATTCCACAATGCATATATACCACATTTTCTTTATCCAGGCATCAGTTGGTGGACATTTGGGTTGATTCCACATCTTAGTTATTGTGAATTGAGCTGCAGTGAGCATAGGGGTAAAGAGAACTCTTTAATGTGCTGATTTCATTTAATTTGGGTAAATTCCCAGGAGTGGGATGGCTGGATCATAAGGTAGATCTATTTTCAGATTTCTGAGGAATCTCCATATTGTCTTTCATAATGGTTATACTAGTTTACATTCACACCAACAGTGGATTAGCATGCCATTTCCCCCACATCCTTGCCAGGATTTATTTACTTATTTATTTATCTAGCTATTTATTTATTTATTTTTTTGATTTTGGGATGATACTCATTCTAATTGGGATAAGGTGAAGCCTCATTGTACTTTTTATTTGCAGTTGCCTGATAACTAGTAATCCTGATATTTCTACATGTGTCTTGGGGCCATTTGATTTTCATCCTTTGGGAAATACCTGTTCATGTCCTTTGCCCACTTGTTAACTGGATTGTTTTGTTGTTGATCTTATTGAGCTCTTTGTAGATCCTGGATATTAATCTTTGTAAGTTACATAGTTGCAAATATTTTCTCTCATTCTGTTGATTGCCTCTTTGGCATTATTGAGTGTTTCCTTTGCAGTGCAGAATCTTCTTAGCTTTATGTAATCCCATGGTCCATGTTTGCTTTTATTACCTATGCTTCTGGGGTTTTATCTAAGAAGCCTTTGCCTATGACAATGTGTTTCAGAGTTTCCCAATGATTTCCTCTAGTAATTTGATGGTATCAGGTAGTGGATTTAAATCACTGGTTCATTTGAGATGAATTTTGTATAAGGTATAAGTTAGGGATCTTGTTTCATACTTCTGTATGTGGAGATCCAATTTTCGCAGCACCATTCGTTGGAGACACTGCCCCTTCTCTAGACATTGATTTTAGCTCATTTGCCAAAAATTAGTTGGTTGTAGATGTTTGCATTAACTTCTAGGATTTCTATTGTGTTCCATTGGTATATATGTCTATTTTTGTGCCAGTACCAAGCTGTTTTGTTTAACTGCATTGTAGTATGTCTTAAAATATGATATTCTGTTGCTTCCTGCTTTTTGTTGTTGTTGTTGTTTTAGATGGCTTTATCTATTTGGAGCCTCTTGAGTTTCCATATTAATTTTACCGTCATTTTTTTTAGATATAAGCAGAATGTCCTTAGTATTTGAGGAAGGGCGGATTTGAAGCCAAGTGGTGAGTTACTCCAATGACAGAGTGTTTCAGGATGGGCCATTAGGGTTCAAATGAGAAGAAGCTGTAACATGAGAGAGGAACTTCTCAGTCCTCAGCAAGAACTCTGAGGCTGAACACAGGCTGAGAGGCTTTGAAGGTTTTACTTAAGAGTGTGAGTTTCAGGTTCCAGACTGTTGGCCCCTGGTGATGCTATAAACTTGTCATTTTGTATCTCAGTCTTATACACATCCTTTGTTTCCTCAGTAGATCAGGGCTCTCCAAAGTCGGTTTCTTTTTCCTCTGCATCTCCCCCATTGCAGTCAGGTAAGGAACTGCACTAAGGAAATGCTCCCTTGCAGGTGCACATCCAGGCTTTCCAACAGATAACTGGAAGGTGGTGAAGATGAAGGCATATTAGCATGTCTCTAACAGCAGCAGATATCACGTTTTCCATGATCTGAGTTAACTATTTAATAGAGTACCTGAAGTATAATTTATTGGAGTGAAATAGACATTTTGAGAATCGATGATTGCTTATAGCCCATGTCTCTTCCATTGAGGAACAGTGCTTTGTTTTGTTTTCTTTCTTTCCATATTGTTTGTTGAACTCTTTTACTTAAGAGTAGGGTTAACTATATGAACATTCAGTATACTGAAAATACATCATTGTAAAAATTAAGAGTGAGAATTCAAGAGGGAGTGGGAGGAAGTATTGGAGCGTGGGCAGGAGGGATGGGAGAGAGGAAGTGCCACTATGTTACTAAACCTGTATATATGAAATATATAAAACTTGCATAACTCAAATAAAATTTTATAAAAGGGGAAAAAAAGAAAGAGAACTATAGACCAATACTCCTGATGAGCATAAGTGCAGAAGTCCTCAAAAATACTACCTAATCCAATACAACAACACATCAGAAAGATCATTCGCCTGTCCTTTTTTATCTCACTTGTACCAACCGGGATTTATCCTTGTTAAGCAGGGATGGTTCAACATACACAAATCAATAAGTGTTATAAAATAATAAAAAGCCATGTGATTATATCAATGGATGAGAAGAAGCTTTTAATAAAATACAACACCCTTTCATGATAAAAAAAACTTTAAGAAAATTGGGTATAGAAGGAACATTCTTCAACTCAATAAAGGCAGTATATGGCAAACCCACAGCTAGCTATTTATTGAATGGGCAAAAGTTGTCTTCTTCTATTTATTTCTTCAGTGTTTTGTACTTATCATTGTAGAGATTTTTTATATCCTTGGTTAAATTTATTCCAAGGTATTTGATTCTTTTTGGAGCTGTTGTGAATGGAACTGATCTTAAACGTTCTTTCCCAGCCATGACATTGTCTGTTTATACGAAGGTTATTGATTTTTCTCTGTTGATTTTATGTCCTGCCAATTTAAGAAACTCTTTTATGAGTTCCAATAGGTTCTCAGTGGGAGTCTTTTGAATCCCCCATATATAGGATCATGTCATCTGCAAATAGGTATAGTCTGACTTCTTCCTTCCCAATTTGTATCCATTTGATTTATTTTTCCTGCCTAATGGCTCTGGCTAAAGCTTCCAGGACTAGATCAAATACCAGTGATGAAAGTGGGCATCTTTGTTGTGCTCTGGATATTAGGGAGAATGGTTACAGCTTTTCCTCATTCAATAGGATACTGGCCATGGGTTTTTTCATATATTGCCTTGATTATAATGAGGAATGTTCATTCTATAACCAGCTTGCTTAAGGTTTTAATCATGAAAGGATGTTGTATTTTATCAAATGCTTTCTATGCCTCTATTGAGATAACCCTACGGTTTTTGCTCTTCAATTTGTTAATGTGGTGTGTCACATTGATGGATTTGCTTATGTTGAAACATTCTTGCACACCAGTGATAAATCCCACTTGGTCCCAGTGAATAAACCTTCTGATGTGTTGCTGGATTTGATTAGCTAAGATTTTGTTGAGGATTTTTGCATCTATGTTCATTAGGGATGATATCAGGGATGATAGTTCTCTTTCTCTGTGTATCTTTTTCAGCTTTTGGTAATAAGATGATGCAGGCTTCATAGAAGGAGTTTGGGAGGATTCCCTCCCTTTGAATTGTTTTGAGTTGCTTAAGAATAATCAGAATTAGTTCTTCTTTAAATGCCTGATAGAATTCAGTAGTGAAGCCATCTTGTCCTGGGCTTTTCTTTATTGGCAGGGTCTGTATTACTGATTTAGTTTCCATCTTGGCTATTCAGCTGTTTAGTTTCTCTGTATATTCATGACTCAATTTTGGTAGATTGTATGTTTCTAGGAATCTATCCATTTCTTATATCTTCCCAATTTGTTGGCATATAGCTCTTTGTAGTAATTTCTGATGATTCTTTTTATTTCCGGTGTATCTGTTGTTACATTCCTTTTTCATCTCTGATTTTATTAATTTGGGTTTTTTCCATCTTTTTTGGATAGTTTCACCAGTGGTGTATCAATTTTGTTTATTTTTTCAAAAAAATCAGCCCTTCATTTCACTGATTTGTATTTTTTTAAAATTTTGTTTATTTTATAAT